GCAGCAAAGCCATCAGATTGGCGTTACAGGTCACTGAGGCCATTGCCTACTCTCATAGCTGCCTTAACCCCATCCTGTATGTGTTTGTTGGGGAGAAGTTCAGGAGGCACCTGTTTAGGTTGATAAACAGGGCTCCCTGCAGACTGTGTAAAATGGTCAAGGTCTGCATACCTCAGGACAGAATTACCGGATCAGTGTACTCGCAGACCACCAGCCTGGACGAGAGGAGCACTGCTGTCTAATGTCTGTTCCTGTTATGGCTATCTCCATCCCTGGTCATCTCTACAATGAGGACATGTATTGCAAAGTCAAAACTAGGTAATTCTCAACTTTTGTATTGTATCTGAGAACTTCACTTCACTCATAATTAGGTTTAGGTTAATGAAGGGTACGTTTTGGAGTGGGAGTTAAGTTAGACAGTGATGTATTTTTAAGAATACAGTGGAGTGTATGTGATTCTGTTAGAGACACAGACATGATTTTATGGTTTTAGGATGTTGTATTGAAGTCACATGCATGCAAATACATTATATATTTTTAAATGTTATCACATAAATATAACGAGTTGTACTGTTAATACGGTGTTGGATATGTGAGATTTATGACTGAGTTTGGATTGGAACAGAATGGATCAGAACTATCAATTTCAGTTATTTTTCTGAATGAAATTGTGTTTAATCCCACTGAGTCAAAACCTGTAAACGTCAGCATATAAACCCCGGTAACCTCAATTAATCTTCAGCTACCAATTTAACAGACGCAATGCAACAAGTCAAAGATAAAGTCAGATACTGATCATTCCTTTCATTCATTAGCGGAAACACCATTAAGTCTGCGTTGGTTTTGTGTATGAAGTTATTGCACGGCAAAAGGTCCCCGGTGCAGCTGGAAACCTTATGCAAGTTTCATTGCATATGCAGCAGCAGATCTGCACCAAACATCGAACTAGAGGAAACCACAACTTGAAAAAGGAGGAAGTGTAAGTGGTCGGTTTAACACTAGCAGTCCCTGTGCACAAAAGCGCATTATCACTGTGAATTCGTTTTTAAAGCATACTTTTTTAGTGAAATGATTCAGCATTCCACAAAAAAACACATTATTCTAAAAACGACTGTACCCTGTATTCTGTCATGCAGACTGAAAGCATCACATTCAATCATTACAGTTCAAGACGTTCATTAGACTCACGGAAAATACAAGATATACAGGTTCCTTTCACCTTTTGAGCTTGTTCCTCAATATGTATATACATTTTATGTTAGTATTCAATATGTCTATGTTTTGGGCAGTTTCGTTTGCTGACAGTTTCATTGGTAAAAATAGATGGTGGTATCTTAAGTGATTCATTATTTGCTATACTTCGCTACTTATTTATCTAAATAGTTATCACCACAATAAACCATATTTAATTTAGTCTTAAATGTACAATATCAATTTCATATTATGTTCTTGTATATATCATATTCTATTTACATGTATATAGACTTCTTGCACTATTTCTTATTTGTATTTGATTATATATGTTGCATCGTTGAAGGAGCTTGGGTCATAATATTTTCTTTGCCATTTCTACACTAGCTTATGTGCACATGACAATAAAACCTTTGAATCTAATGTTTATGTTTCTTCTTTATTTTCACAGTAACCATGCTGTTATAATGTACTGAATGTGCCAAAATAAGACTATTTCTGTAAAGTTTATGTTTTGTTTAGTATGTATACCAGATTATTTTCAATAAAATTGTAATATATTATATCACACATTTTTGAAAATGTCCTTTCTATTCTATATACTGAAGTACAGTTTTGTGCAGTATATGCCTTTGAGGATGACATTCTTGTCCCTTTAAATAACTAAATCAATGGACAATTCAGCATTATTAGGACACATACCATTGTGGTCACATTCATATTCACTCACATGCAAAAGCAAAGGCACAAAATTAACGTTACAGTAATATATTATTGTGACGTTAGATCATGGCAGATTATGGGAAGTACAAGATCATAAAAAAGGAAATATTTGTTTAGAGAGGGATCAGGATAAGATGATTTATTTATGATGGGGGAGGTAATGGAGTCCATGGGTTCCCAGTGAGAAATCATCCTGCGTTGCATAACATCTTTGTTCCACTGCTCCACGTCACACTCGGGGATGGGCTCTGTAAACACCAAGCAATCATTAGTAACAATTCTCAGTTTAGGCTCATCAAGCAAAAAAAGACAAAGCCACATCACTGCAAATCCCGAGTCATTCTTGACACCTTGAACGTTTCCCATTTATCTCATTTCCGCCTCCTCGACTCCTCGGTCCTCCGGTAGTGACCCGGAAATAGATTTCAGCGCGCCATGTTGAAGGACATCCCATTTCCCTAAATGCACGTCGAGGACCGAGGAGCGAGGAGGCTCTCTCGAGGAGCTATAACCGAGGATACACTGATTTGAGTGACATTACCTAGCTCTTCTTGAGCCATACACTGTCTTGAGATCTTATCCATTGTATCCTTGTCTCGTTATTTTTGACTGAAAGGGCAAAAGGCTAGACCTACTTTGGTTGAACTATGTAGCTGCGTCCCTGCTTTTGACAAATAGGTGTGCGATTGACATGCCAGATTGAAGGAAAATTTAAAATATTGGTCATGTTGCGTAGGCGTGTTGGTACGTGGGTTGAGGGGTCCTGGGCTCTCAGTGCCCATGGGCCCCTTGAGGTACTAACCCGGCCTTGTGTGCAAGCAGTGGCGGCTCCAGAGTATTTTTGTTGGGTAATCTATGGTAGGGCTAACCCATACAGTGATGGGGCTCAAGTCAGTATTTGCAATGTAATTACATACACGCTTTGACAGTGAAATGCCACGCGTGAGGTTTAGATTATTTCCCTGTCTCAATCCAAATTGAACTGTATGAAATAAAAAGGCACATTTGTCTTGTAGTAAATAAAAAGGGCGACCTGGAGCCAATCCTGAAATTTCCCCACAGGTGAAAGAGTTGACATGCTGAAAACCAAACCCCTGCAGGGGGGTCTGGGCGATTCTCCCCCAGGAGATTTTTTGAAATACTAACAGAAAATACACATTCTGGTACTCTCTTGAGAAGAAAAATAAATACATCTATTACTACACATTTAAAAAAATGAATGCCATTTTTGTTTTTTGTTACTTTGTTCTGAAAGCTGAACCTGCTGCTCCTCACAGAGAGAAGAGGGAAGAGGCTGTGTGAATTACTTTACATTGTGGATAAGGGTGGATAGCCCCCATTGTGCTGTGTGTCAAAATGAAAGACAGCCCACACACCTATCAATCATCAAACCGTGGGGTCTTATTTCATTTCGTAATGTTGTATCGATGTATATAGAGATGTACTACAGCAAAAGTATTCTCCGTCGGGACTTCCTGCAACAACACCACGCCATTATCGTGATTCTGATTAGCCAGAAGACATTATCAAAGATGTTTTATTGAGAAGACGATCACTACGTGACAAAAGTTTTCAAAACCGTTTCTAGTCTTCGGTATTTCCAGACAAGTGGCTACTGAAATCAATCTTATTAACTGCTGTCTGTGCAATTTACTCCGCGCGAGTTGGTGGACTTTATTTAGCTTACTTTAACATCATTTTTCATGGTGGCTTTTAAAATGCGTGTTTTCTGAATGGAATCGGATCCATCAGGCTAAACTAACCTGTAGCTGCTCCGTCCACACTCACAACAGCGTCATACAGACATAAATAAAGCAGCGACTGTATTCGCCATGACATAGACTGTCTGTGTTTTGTATATGTTTAACTTTTGTCCAGTTTCTGAACAGATATGAGGAGCTGTGAGCTCTGAGTGTGTGCTAACAGCTAAAGGCCCAGACACACCAGGCCGATATCGGCCGTCTTCGGTTGTCTGACGACGAAGCGTGCCCTGTCGCCCAAAGTCAATTTGGTGTGTCCCGAACCCTCCACGCCTTATTTGGCGTTTCACGGTCGACACACGGCCGATTCAACATGTTGAATCGGCCGTGTGTCGGCCATGTGACACAAGCTATCGGGCCAAGAAACCACTCTGATCAGCTGTTCAGCTAGCAAATGAGAAGCGAAACGGAAGTGAGGGACGTAAACAAACAATTTAAAAAGGCACAGGACAGCAGCTAAACCCCAGCAGGTGATACTTAAAGACATCAAACATAGCCCTTAAATGTCCTCTCTTACCTCCCACACATAGCAGGGACATCTCTGATATTGGCGGGAGCGTCCCCGGCTGTCCTCTGCTGAGAGCTCCGTGATTTGTTTGGTCAAGTCCGGTTTTTCATCTCATCGGTTTATTTGTCAGTATAAAGTTGCAGGATTAGTCTCAAGTACCTCAACATTGTCCTTAAGTACAGTGTCTAAGTAAATGAGATACTGTCTACTGCTGTTCATTTACCTATTGTGAGTCGCCTCGGATAAAAGCATCACATGGAAATGGAAATTTAGCAAGAAGTGGCCTACATTACTACATTGCTGACTCAATAAACTACACACCCGCCAGAACACTGCCATCATCAGATGCAGGTCTATTAACTGTGATTTTATAGTCTTTTCTTTCTCTCCTTTCTTTTCTTTTTGAAAGCCTTACTTTGTGAGTCGTTGAGACATGGTACACAAGTAAGTACTAGCATCCCTGCTCCTCACATGCTCTCACTCTCTGCCAGAAAGTGCTGTTTGGAGGCAGAGGCGGGACCAAACCATTACATGTAAATAGAAGGGGGTGTACAGAGGCTTTGGATAATTAACTTTTGGAAGAAAATGAGTTAAATGAATTGTAAGTTTAGTGAGTACATTATCAATATAACGTTCTATTAATGTTAATTATTGATGAATGATGAAAGGTTACTTAAACATTTTTTTCTTAATGTTCTAAAATTGTTTGGGCCCCCGTGGTGAGGGTGTTTGGGGTGGCCAATAGGGTGGCCAGGATTCAGCCCCCCAGCTCCGCCACTGCATTTAGGTTCTGCTTTTTCTGTTAGTCTTTGTGAGATCCTTGTTTGTTGTTGACTGTGTTCACGGGGGAGAGCTCTGTATGTTACTTGTAGCCTTGAAATAAAGGTATTTTCTGTTAAATCTGCATTTGGGTCCTGCCTACTTCGCTCAACCCTGACAGAAGGATCTCACCAAGAATGGACCCAGCAGACAGCCTGTACGAGGTGACGTACAATTTAATGTGCTTAAAAAATGACTGTCGATACGCCTCCAGTAGAGAAGAGAGGCAGTCTAGTATCTCTACGGCACGCCAAGAAGTAACCTCGAGGCCCTGGTTAAGGGAGTTACTACCCGAGTGGGTACCCGAGGACCTCTGAGCCTCCACAAGGCTTCAAGGCAGCATGGAAGGAAACGCAAGGCCAGGATTCCAGCCCGTGCCCCAGCAGCCATGGTTCCAGCCCCAGCAGCCATGGTCCCAGCCCCAGAAGCCATGGTTCAGGCCCTGGTTCCGGCCCCAGCAGCCATGGTCCCTCCTCTAGTCCCATCTCAAGTCCCATCTCCTGATCTAATGGCGCATTTCCACTACACGGCCTCGCTCGGCCTCGCTCGGTATGGCTAGGCCTCGTTAGGACTGGCTCACTTTATGGCGCATTTCCATTACAGTTTAGGAACTGGGGTAGTATCTATAGTAACGCAGTGTAGGCGGAGCCGTGACGTCATCTTCAATGAGAACCCCAGAAAAACAACACAGCCGTTAGCTGTTAGCACTCAGAGCTCACAGCTCCTCATATATGTTCAGAAACTAGACAAAAGTTAAACAAGTACAAACCACAGACTGCCTGTGTCATGGCGAATACAGTCGCTGCTTTATTTATGTCTGTATAGGCCGTTGTTGTGAGTGTGGACGGTCGGAGCATATACTGCGTTAGCTTAGCCAATCTCCATTTAGAAAACACGCATTTTAAAAGGTTTTTCGCCTGCCGTCTGTCTGCAGACTTGTCAAAGCATTAATTCATGGTTTTTACTAACCGGTATCAGTATGTTGTTACTTCGGCATCATTTTGAAACGTGTATTACAATTAAATCACGGTCAAATATGTCCATCTTGTTGTAGTTGTAGCCCCCTTGCCAGCGATTCTCTCTCTCGTTTAGCATACTCAGCCCGACTCAGCCTCGTTGTCTCTGGCCCTAGACCCACGATTTTATGAGGCCAGAAAAACTGTGAATTAGGACCCGCCGGCCAGTACTAGGCCAAGTGGAAACGCAACCAAAAACGGGCCGCTGACGTCACAGCCCTCTTAAACCGTGCTCCGCGCTGTAGTGGAAACGCGCCATAAATGTTACAAGAAAGTGATATAATGATCAAATGTTTCAAATGCTAGGCTTAGGTAAGGAGATAAGAATGATGACCTTTTTGTTTAATTAGATTTAAGTCTAACATTGTAAAAATAAAATACAAAGAGGAGTTAGTGCTTTGGTGTGTTTCTCAAGTAAAGGAAGGGTGCAATTCCTCCTGGATATTAATTTTTAAACAAATGAGTTTACTCGCACAAATTTAGACTGTCTGTACATTCCAATGAGTAGTCAAGGGGAAGGAAATAATCTTCTAAAATAAACAAGTTCAATACAAAATTCCAAAGGTTTAGTTATAGGGAACGACTTAAGAAGCCCTGTACTTAAGCAAAGAAGGGAGTTGTAAAACAAAAAAGAGCAAAACAAATAAAAATAAAAATAAAATCTGCACTGTAGCAAAGCAACATTCATCTTTATAAATGTTGTATAAAGTCAAACAAACTGGACTGATCCAGGGTGTGGGTTTTTATTCCTCACAAATGACGTCATGGTTTTGTTTTGTTTTTCAGGATGTTGGCCATGGCCACAGCTGTCCCTACTGTTGCTCGTTTCATTGGAATAAGTGAAAATTCATCTGTAGAAGGCTATCCAAGGTAAGATTTAACCTATTGCCTAAACACATGCATTTATATGCTCTTTATTTTGCAGTTTTGTCAGTCTGTGCCTCCCTTGCTTTCACTGTGTAACTGTACTCCAGGCCACGTAGAGGAATTTTGATTATCAGCAGCTGGATTCTTCAGTTTCTATCTAGCATGTCATTCCCCTCACTAAGTTAGTAACTCCTTTGCTGACAGTTTCTCAGATTCGGTTGCAAGAACACAACAACATTATCCTGTAGCTTAGCTTAGTATTGTACTGCCCACAGCTACAGAGTTTTTTAAAGCTAAATGTTTGTAGATTGAATAAACTGAACTGAAATAATGGCATCTCCCTCATCATTAATATTTCCTTACTGTCACTTTTTCTCACCAGCTCTACTCCAGAATATGACTACATGTATGATGACTACTATGGGAATGAGACGTTCTTCGTTGGTGGGAGCACTGGGAGGTGTGTGTATCAGCCACACGGGGCCAGTTTTCTTCCCGCGCTCTATGCAATCTTCTTCCTCACGGGCCTTCTGGGTAAATGTCTGGTCATCTGGGTCTTAACACGTGGGGTTCGCCTCCGCAGCATGACGGACGTGTGCCTCTTAAACTTGGCTGTAGCTGACCTTCTCTTGGTGTGCACCCTTCCCTTCCTAGCCCACCAAGCCCGGGACCATTGGCAGTTTGGGGATGCCATGTGCAAAGTGGTCCTGGGTATTTATCACATCGTTTTTTACTGTGGGATCTTCTTCATCAGTCTAATGAGCATCGACCGCTACTTGGCTATAGTACACGCTGTTTACGCTATGAGAGCCCGGACGAGGTCCTTTGGAATGATCGCAGCATCTGTTACATGGGTGGTTGGATTTATGGCTTCTTTCCCTGACCTGATCTTTCTCCAACAACAGCCAGGTACTAATGCAACTCACGACTGCTACCCCGTCTTTCCCAACTCTCACTACTGGAGGATCTTCAGCCTTTTTAAAATGAACATGTTGGGTCTATTTGTCCCTCTTCTCATCATGGGCTTCTGCTACTCACAGATTGTCTGGAGGCTGCTGAACAGCCAGTCATCCAAGAAACAGGCCATCCGTTTAGTTCTCATAGTGGTAGTTGTTTTCTTCATCTGCTGGGTCCCCTACAACATTGCATCCCTCTTCAAAGCACTGGAGCTATTGCACATCATTTCTGACTGCCAAAGCAGCAAAGCCATCAGATTGGCGTTACAGGTCACTGAGGCCATTGCCTACTCTCATAGCTGCCTTAACCCCATCCTGTATGTGTTTGTTGGGGAGAAGTTCAGGAGGCACCTGTTTAGGTTGATAAACAGGGCTCCCTGCAGACTGTGTAAAATGGTCAAGGTCTGCATACCTCAGGACAGAATTACCGGATCAGTGTACTCGCAGACCACCAGCCTGGACGAGAGGAGCACTGCTGTCTAATGTCTGTTCCTGTTATGGCTATCTCCATCCCTGGTCATCTCTACAATGAGGACATGTATTGCAAAGTCAAAACTAGGTCATTCTCAACTTTTATATTGTATTTTAGAACTTCACTTCACTCAGAATTAGGTTTATGTTAATGAAGGGTACGTTTTGGAGTGGGAGTTAAGTTAGACAGTGATGTATTTTTAAGAATACAGTGGAGTGTATGTGATTCTGTTAGAGACACAGACATGATTTTATGGTTTTAGGATGTTGTATTGAAGTCACATGCATGCAAATACATTATATATTTTTAAATGTTATCACATAAATATAACGAGTTGTACTGTTAATACGGTGTTGGATATGTGAGATTTATGACTGAGTTTGGATTGGAACAGAATGGATCAGAACTATCAATTTCAGTTATTTTTCTGAATGAAATTGTGTTTAATCCCACTGAGTCAAAACCTGTAAACGTCAGCATATAAACCCCGGTAACCTCAATTAATCTTCAGCTACCAATTTAACAGACGCAATGCAACAAGTCAAAGATAAAGTCAGATACTGATCATTCCTTTCATTCATTAGCGGAAACACCGTTAAGTCTGCGTTGGTTTTGTGTATGAAGTTATTGCACGGCAAAAGGTCCCCGGTGCAGCTGGAAACCTTATGCAAGTTTCATTGCATATGCAGCAGCAGATCTGCACCAAACATCGAACTAGAGGAAACCACAACTTGAAAAAGGAGGAAGTGTAAGTGGTCGGTTTAACACTAGCAGTCCCTGTGCACAAAAGCGCATTATCACTGTGAATTCGTTTTTAAAGCATACATTTCTAGTGAAATGATTCAGCATTCCACAAAAAAACACATTATTCTAAAAACGACTGTACCCTGTATTCTGTCATGCAGACTGAAAGCATCACATTCAATCATTACAGTTCAAGACGTTCATTAGACTCACGGAAAATACAAGATATACAGGTTCCTTTCACCTTTTGAGCTTGTTCCTCAATATGTATATACATTTTATGTTAGTATTCAATATGTCTATTTTTTGGGCAGTTTCGTTTGCTGACAGTTTCATTGGTAAAAATAGATGGTGGTATCTTAAGCGATTCATTATTTGCTATACTTCACTACTTATTTATCTAAATAGTTATCACCGCAATAAACCATATTTAATTTAGTCTTAAATGTACAATATCAATTTCATATTATGTTCTTGTATATATCATATTCTATTTACATGTATACAGACTTCTTGCACTATTTCTTATTTGTATTTGATTATATATGTTGCATCGTTGAAGGAGCTTGGGTCATAATATTTTCATTGCCATTTCTACACTAGCTTATGTGCACATGACAATAAAACCTTTGAATCTAATGTTTATGTTTCTTCTTTATTTTCACAGTAACCATGCTGTTATAATGTACTGAATGTGCCAAAATAAGACTATTTCTGTAAAGTTTATGTTTTGTTTAGTATGTATACCAGATTATTTTCAATACAATTGTAATATATTATATCACACATTTTTGAAAAATTCCTTTCTATTCTATATACTGAAGTACAGTTTTGTGCAGTATATGCCTTTGAGGATGACATTCTTGTCCCTTTAAATAACTAAATCAATGGACAATTCAGCATTATTAGGACACATACCATTGTGGTCACATTCATATTCACTCACATGCAAAAGCAAAGGCACAAAATTAACGTTACAGTAATATATTATTGTGATGTTAGATCATGGCAGATTATGGGAAGTACAAGATCATAAAAAAGGAAATATTTGTTTAGAGAGGGATCAGGATAAGATGATTTATTTATGATGGGGGAGGTAATGGAGTCCATGGGTTCCCAGTGAGAAATCATCCTGCGTTGCATAACACCTTTGTTCCACTGCTCCACGTCACACTTGGGGATGGGCTCTGTAAACACCAAGCAATCATTAGTAACAATTCTCAGTTTAGGCTCATCAAGCAAAAAAAGACAAAGCCACATCACTGCAAATCCCGAGTCATTCTTGACACCTTGAACGTTTCCCATTTATCTCATTTCCGCCTCCTCGACTCCTCGGTCCTCCGGTAGTGACCCGGAAATAGATTTCAGCGCGCCATGTTGAAGGACATCCCATTTCTATAAATGCACATCGAGGACCGAGGATCGAGGAGGCTCTCTTGAGGAGCTATAACCGAGGATACACTGATTTGAGTGACATTACCTAGCTCTTCTTGAGCCATACACTGTCTTGAGATCTTATCCATTGTATCCTTGTCTCGTTATTTTTGACTGAAAGGGCAAAAGGCTAGACCTACTTTGGTTGAACTATGTAGCTGCGTCCCTGCTTTTGACAAATAGGTGTGCGATTGACATGCCAGATTGAAGGAAAATTAAAAATATTGGTCATGTTGCGTAGGCGTGTTGGTACGTGGGTTGAGGAGTCCTGAGCTCTCAGTGCCCATGGGCCCCTGGAGGTACTAATCCGGCCTTGTGTGCAAGGACCCTGCTCTGCACATTGTCAGTGAGTGTGTGCAATGACCCAGCGCTGCACAGTGTCAGTGAGTGTTTGCACACACACCTGCTCAGCTCCTCCTTAGCGTGTTTAGCCTGTGCAGTTAGCACCTCCCTCTCCTGCTCCCTGTGCAGCGGCAGCAGCTCCACTGCAGCATCGGAGCCTCGCTCTCCTGCACCTCTGAAATGTGGCTGCCTGTCAACAAGCAGCAACAATTGAGAGTTAGTATCAGAGGTGGGACCATGTCATTGTTTTGCAAGTCACAAGTAAGTCTCAAGTCTTTGCGCTCAAGTCCGAGTCAAGTCTCAAGTCAGGTTGGGCAAGTTCAAGTCAAGTCCAAGTCCTAAACTTTGAAAACCGAGTCTTAACCCTTCTCTTGCGTTAGGTCATACCCCCCTTCCCATGCTATTTTCGGTCAAAATTGACCGGTGTGTTTTGCACAGTGATATCTCTGGAACCCCATTATCCAATTGTGATGGTTGACATCTCATTTGAACAGTCAAAGCAAGTAGAATCAAGGGGTGACAGACAGAATGACACCAGGGGTGGATTTCATATTATTTTTTGCAGTAAGTTCAAAGATAGTGCTTATTTTACATTACTGTATATTATAAGAATGCTTGCCATGTAGGCTGTGTGTACTGGAGATGGAAATGCTTTAGTTAGTGTTGTAGCTGAGATTCTTCCCGTTCCAATGATGTATGGGATGTATTAATTTGATACAAGCAAGCCAGTGTTTCATGTCATGGTCCGGACCCACCGGTGGGCCCATCAAGTTCAGCATTCACTGCACTCACTGTGATGAATATAACACTGATACTGTTTTCCTCAATGAACATTTATTGAAAGAGAAATATACCATAACAGAACATGTGTGTTTGTGTTTGTGTGCGTGTGTGTGTGTGTGTCTCAAAGTCAAAGTCAAAGTCAGCTTTATTGTCAAAATTACTACATGTGTTATACATCCAGAAATCTCGAGATACCGTTTCCCGCAGTCCCACAGTGTGACATATATACATAAAACAAAACAAAAAGGGCCTAGATAAACGGGGTATACAATTTAAAATGTTAATAATAATGTGTGTGTGTGTATGTGTGTGTATTTGTGTGTGTGTGTGTGTGTGTGTGTGTGTGTGTTGGAATGCTGATACAGCATTCCACATCGCAGAAACTCCGTTCAAACATCAAAACGTTCAGCTCGGTCGGAAATCGATGGCTATTACTTTTCTCATTCATAAATTCCAACTTTAAAATGTTACACATCTTTCTGACATTATTCGTGTAACACAACTTTTAAATCTGATTCTTACTTTTAGAGATATTAAACATTGTTCAGACCTTGGTACAGAGGCCTTCTTCAGATTTTAACATAAACTAGAGTGCATGATGTCACAGCTAGAGTGTAGGAAATCTTGAAATTTGCCTTCATATTTTTTTTAAAACTGCCATAATTCCCAAACCCTACATTCCTGAGACATACTTTTTCATGACAAACGTAGGAAAACATCTCGTAGCTTGAAAAATAATCAAGCAAAAATAATTAAACAAAATGCCTCTTGAGGGCATGAAGTGACAAAAACTTTCAACATGTCTCCATTAAAGCCCATTGTAATTTCAGGCTGATATTTCCTCACAGCAGCAGCCACACACCTTTAGTTAATCTGCCAAAAAGGCCACATTATTGACCCGAAAGTACACAAAAAGCACACTTCAGATACTCAAGGTCCTTGAGATGCTTCACGCTTTGAAATTTCACCGATATCTGTTACGGTTCTTCAACAAAACGTTCACATGTAACAGGTTTATCTCTCATTCAGAACAATGCAAATGCTCTCCTCTCGCTGATTACTGCACGTTGACACGTCGTTAGCTCAAATATAAACACCTGTGTCATGGAACACGATGATGTCATAACTCCAACTGACATGCTCAGAGCAGCAGACTTCAGATAATGGTTAATGGTCCTGCCCTCAACAGCTCTACGTCAATTATGGGGTGTCATCATATGCCGTTTCCATGGAAACGCGAAGAGAGAGAGGGCGATAGAAGAGTGAGAGGGCGATCAAGAGAAGAGAGAGAGGGCGATTAAGAGGAGAGAGAGGGCGATCAAGAGAAGAGAGAGAGGGCGAGCAAGAGAAGAGAGAGAGGGCGATCAAGAGAAGAGAGAGGGCGATCAAGAGAAGAGAGAGAGGGCGAGCAAGAGAAGAGAGAGAGAAGAGAGAGAGAAGAGAGAGAGAAGAGAGAAAGGGCGATCAAGAGAAGAGAGAGAGTCAAACTAAAGTGGAGACATGGCAGAAACCCTACAGTGAAGTGTTCTCCTGTGAGAGGGCGATCAAGAGAAGAGAGAGAGGGCGATCAAGAGGAGAGAGAGAGGGCGATCAAGAGAAGAGAAAGAGGTTGATCAAGAGAAGAGAGAGAGGGCAATAGAAGAGTGAGAGGGCGATCAAGAGAACAGAGAGAGAGGGCGATCAAGAGAAGAGAGAGAGGGCGATCAAGAGAAGAGAGAGAGGGCGAGCAAGAGAACAGAGAGAGAGGGCGATCAAGAGAAGAGAGAGAGGGCGATCAAGAGAAGAGAGAGAGGGTGATAGAAGATTGAGAGGGTGATCAAGAGAAGAGAGAGGGAGATCAAGAGAAGAGAGAGAGTAATGTAACCTCCTAATGTAATGTATAACTCCTATGAACATTTTCAAAAAGTGCTCAAATTTCACATGTGTGCTAACAGTCCAGCCGTGAAGACATCTACGGGACAGTTTTGAGATTTCTTCAAATGCCGTTGCCATGGCAACACAATGCTCACCATGAAACACAGTTTTCTCATAACTTCAGTGAAAATGTTCCAAACGGCCCAAAACTTCACAGGTTTGGTAACGATGCAGCCATCAACGCATCTAAGCGTATTATGGGATGTCATCAAATGCCGTTGGCATGGCGACAGATCATTCGCCATCAAGTTAGTTAAAAAGTTTGCAGTTCAAATATTCTGCTGCTTTTCCTAGCCTTTTTACTTTCTTTTCTTCTCTCATCACACATTCAAGCCCCCAGTGTTCATGTATCATTTCAATCTAAATTCTTCACTTTCTTCTTACACATTATATTTCAGCATAGCAATTCAGCGTCAGCTTTTCAGCATAAAGCATTCCCACTAGCAATTTCTTCAGGAATTGCATTCTCTAGTTTTCTATGGCGGTCAATTCTGACCGAAAACATCATGGGTTTTCACTGTTGAATAAATCACTCAAAATTCAATGCAAGTGGTGATCATCAAGTGTATATGTTCAGAGGCCTAGTGTGGAGGATAACATAAGGTATTGAGGCAATTGGATGAAAAACACAATATTTATGATTAAAGCAAAAGTCATTCGGTCACTTTTGACCCGAAACGCAAGAGAAGAAGTCATTACTGTATGTGCTTTTCAACATAACAGTTGCATAAACATACAATGAAGTAACAGTTTCATTCAGCCACACAATTTGTGTCTTTTTTTATTATGAAAAACTATGTGAAGTGTGTGTTTGTTATTGTCAGACCGAGTGAGTCAGTGAAAAACACAAGTTATAGATGCATCAATCTCAGGGTCCAAGAGACCACATTTGCCAAAATTAAGCGAGAAGCTGAGAAACATAACTGTTGCATAAACATAAAATGAAGTAACAGTTTCATTCACCCACACGTTTTCTATTATCTCAGGGCCCTATAATGCATTGCATTTACAAAAGACCAAATTGGTCATTAGTCGGTCACTCATTTGTGCACGATGGGGTCGCAGGATGATGCCACCATGGCTAAAAACTCGCTCCACCGGAGCACTGGAGGCAGGCACTGCCAAAACTCTGATGGCCACTTTGAACAGCGAAGGAAGAACCTTCATGTTCATTGCCCAGAACAAAAGGACATTCTGTCCGTCAGCGATATGGAGATAGTGACTTGGCTGCAGTGCTCCCAACATCCTTCTTCTGCCTCTTATGGTACGCAGCAAACAGCCCTTCACCTTGTCCAAGGCTCTCTTGCTCTTCCTCATCAACACAAGGCGTAGGTTGCTCTGTCTCCACAGCCTCTCGCACGATCAGTTCTGGCAAAACATGTAAAAACAAAACAAAAAAGACACAAAAGAGACAGAGACACCACCGAGAAAGAGACGTCCAACACGCCTGTAAAATCTGATTATTAAGAATGCTACAAAAACATTGTTACAAAGACAGTGCAGTGTGTTTGTGTGTGTGTGTGTGTGTGTGTGTGTGTGTGTGTGTGTGTGTGTGTGTGTGTGTGTGTGTGTGTGTGTGTGTGTGTGTGTGTGTGTGTGTGTGTGTGTGTGTGTGTGTGTGTGTGTGTGTGTGTGTGTGTGTGTGTGTTGTTTTGCATGTGGTTGCTGCTTTGAAGAGGTGAAAAAGAAGAAAGGATGCTGTTATTTGTAAACAATATTATGAAACATGCATGGAAATATTGAAATTCAAAGTACATTAGTCTTTGTCAAATTCCATTGTTTTGTAAACTAAGACAAAATAAAATGTGCTTGATAATTTCTTTTTATAATAAGTGAGAACAAAATAATTCTGAGATGTGTGTGTTATGTCAAAAAAGTGCATCTTGACACAGCATTGCACCACTTTAAATCTATTTGTGGCATTTCCTTCTTGGTAGATTGTAAGTACTTTCCAAGAAGTGTGCAGAGCAGAATCCCTTAACTCATTTAAAAACAACTGACTAATTTAAAAACGGTGCATATTTGTTTTTAAATCCGTAACAAGCATCTCACTCGCTTTAGATATTAGTTAGAACCTCAGTCCCTACACAGAGAAAGTAATTTGCTTCCAATACATGGCGCTGTTTTGAAACTACACTTATGCAGTTTCAGGAGTCTTTATTCCAAACATAAAAACATATACAACATGAAAAACTCTTCAATCCTCCAATACTGCTCCGGTTTGCATTGCATCTTTTAAAGCTTGCATTTGTATATGGGTTATGGTTATCGACAGACACTGTGATATTACATGCATGATGCACGGTTTGAAAGCATTTACCAGGAAGCTACAAACCACCGAACATATGCATACAAATATATCACTCTTCAAGGCAAGCCTGCAAGCAAGCCCACCTGGTTTGGTTAAGAGATGGGAGTGATGTTTAACGGGGTTGCACACCACAAAGAGGTGTGAAACAACAGGTTTGCACACAGTGCTTTCTGAGCTTGCTTACATATCTGATCATTTATTTGATCTGGCCGTCCACCTCAGCATCTTTGATCTAGAATAAAACACCACTTTCAGCTATCTTGTTAACATAACTGGTATGTACATTTGTATTTCATTTTTTACATGCACATGCTTTATGATAAGAACATGTACATATCTTTGTTGGACATAAGCTTAACATGTATTGAAATGAATTGATTAACTCTGACCCTACTTGACACCAGCTGTGAGTCATTAGAAATGACCTCATACTATAAGTCCAGCCAAGAGTTTCAGTTGTGGTTATGAGGTTATATAGAACATAAATGTCAAGTATTTTAATTCAGCTGATTGGGACATGGTGCTACAATGTATACTTTTTCCTTATGGATTTTTAAAACTACTTTTAAGTATTTTAATTCATTATAAATACAGTCTGAGAGCGTTACCTCACTAAATGTATGTCTTGTTGTTCCATCTATTGTAACCCCACTAACTAGCATGGCCATATATGTTGCATCGATGCTCATATATCTGTATGGTTTGGTTTTTGTCGGCCTCACAAAAAATACTTTAAAATATTTTGAAATCTGACCGAACAACTGTGTTTGTGCAAAAACTCTGGAAATACATTTCCAGGTCTGTATCAGGAAAGTGATGGATAGTTAAAGGCTGTAGCAACGAGAGAAGTTGGTGGTTTGCTTTTTAAAAATAGTGAGCTAGCATCCCTGAAATCTGTAGGTTACGCATCTCATAGCTTTGAGTTGAACAGACAAAGGCTTCAATCTCTGACTCCTTTTCAGTGGTTGCTGGGTAAACTAATAAAGTACAGTGTTCTGGAAGGCAAACAACTATCAATTGAACCTACCAAGTTAAGGGCTTTAAAAACCTGATCTAAATGTTACAAGAAAGTGATATAATGATCAAATGTTTCAAATGCTAGGCTTAGGTAAGGAGATAAGAATGATGACCTTTTTGTTTAATTAGATTTAAGTCTAACATTGTAAAAATAAAATACAAAGAGGAGTTAGTGCTTTGGTGTGTTTCTCAAGTAAAGGAAGGGTGCAATTCCTCCTGGATATTAATTTTTAAACAAATGAGTTTACTCGCACAAATTTAGACTGTCTGTACATTCCAATGAGTAGTCAAGGGGAAGGAAATAATCTTCTAAAATAAACAAGTTCAATACAAAATTCCAAAGGTTTAGTTATAGGGAACGACTTAAGAAGCCCTGTACTTAAGCAAAGAAGGGAGTTGTAAAACAAAAAAGAGCAAAACAAATAAAAATAAAAATAAAATCTGCACTGTAGCAAAGCAACATTCATCTTTATAAATGTTGTATAAAGTCAAACAAACTGGACTGATCCAGGGTGTGGGTTTTTATTCCTCACAAATGACGTCATGGTTTTGTTTTGTTTTTCAGGATGTTGGCCATGGCCACAGCTGTCCCTACTGTTGCTCGTTTCATTGGAATAAGTGAAAATTCATCTGTAGAAGGCTATCCAAGGTAAGATTTAACCTATTGCCTAAACACATGCGTTTATATGCTCTTTATTTTGCAGTTTTGTCAGTCTGTGCCTCCCTTGCTTTCACTGTGTAACTGTACTCCAGGCCACGTAGAGGAATTTTGATTATCAGCAGCTGGATTCTTCAGTTTCTATCTAGCATGTCATTCCCCTCACTAAGTTAGTAACTCCTTTGCTGAGAGTTTCTCAGATTCGGTTGCAAGAACACAACAACATTATCCTGTAGCTTAGCTTAGTATTGTACTGCCCACAGCTACAGAGTTTTTTAAAGCTAAATGTTTGTAGATTGAATAAACTGAACTGAAATAATGGCATCTCCCTCATCATTAATATTTCCTTACTGTCACTTTTTCTCACCAGCTCTACTCCAGAATATGACTACATGTATGATGACTACTATGGGAATGAGACGTTCTTCGTTGGTGGGAGCACTGGGAGGTGTGTGTATCAGCCACACGGGGCCAGTTTTCTTCCCGCGCTCTATGCAATCTTCTTCCTCACGGGCCTTCTGGGTAACTGTCTGGTCATCTGGGTCTTAACACGTGGGGTTCGCCTCCGCAGCATGACGGACGTGTGCCTCTTAAACTTGGCTGTAGCTGACCTTCTCTTGGTGTGCACCCTTCCCTTCCTAGCCCACCAAGCCCGGGACCATTGGCGGTTTGGGGATGCCATGTGCAAAGTGGTCCTGGGTATTTATCACATTGTTTTTTACTGTGGGATCTTCTTCATCAGTCTAATGAGCATCGACCGCTACTTGGCTATAGTACACGCTGTTTACGCTATGAGAGCCCGGACGAGGTCCTTTGGAATGATCGCAGCATCTGTTACATGGGTGGTTGGATTTATGGCTTCTTTCCCTGACCTGATCTTTCTCCAACAACAGCCAGGTACTAATGCAACTCACGACTGCTACCCCGTCTTTCCCAACTCTCACTACTGGAGGATCTTCAGCCTTTTTAAAATGAACATGTTGGGTCTATTTGTCCCTCTTCTCATCATGGGCTTCTGCTACTCACAGATTGTCTGGAGGCTGCTGAACAGCCAGTCATCCAAGAAACAGGCCATCCGTTTAGTTCTCATAGTGGTAGTTGTTTTCTTCATCTGCTGGGTCCCCTACAACATTGCATCCCTCTTCAAAGCACTGGAGCTATTGCACATCATTTCTGACTGCCAAAGCAGCAAAGCCATCAGATTGGCGTTACAGGTCACTGAGGCCATTGCCTACTCTCATAGCTGCCTTAACCCCATCCTGTATGTGTTTGTTGGGGAGAAGTTCAGGAGGCACCTGTTTAGGTTGATAAACAGGGCTCCCTGCAGACTGTGTAAAATGGTCAAGGTCTGCATACCTCAGGACAGAATTACCGGATCAGTGTACTCGCAGACCACCAGCCTGGACGAGAGGAGCACTGCTGTCTAATGTCTGTTCCTGTTATGGCTATCTCCATCCCTGGTCATCTCTACAATGAGGACATGTATTGCAAAGTCAAAACTAGGTCATTCTCAACTTTTATATTGTATTTTAGAACTTCACTTCACTCATAATTAGGTTTAGGTTAATGAAGGGTACGTTTTGGAGTGGGAGTTAAGTTAGACAGTGATGTATTTTTAAGAATACAGTGGAGTGTATGTGATTCTGTTAGAGACACAGACATGATTTTATGGTTTTAGGATGTTGTATTGAAGTCACATGCATGCAAATACATTATATATTTTTAAATGTTATCACATAAATATAACGAGTTGTACTGTTAATACGGTGTTGGATATGTGAGATTTATGACTGAGTTTGGATTGGAACAGAATGGATCAGAACTATCAATTTCAGTTATTTTTCTGAATGAAATTGTGTTTAATCCCACTGAGTCAAAACCTGTAAACGTCAGCATATAAACCCCGGTAACCTCAATTAATCTTCAACTACCAATTTAACAGACGCAATGCAACAAGTCAAAGATAAAGTCAGATACTGATCATTCCTTTCATTCATTAGCGGAAACACCATTAAGTCTGCGTTGGTTTTGTGTATGAAGTTATTGCACGGCAAAAGGTCCCCGGTGCAGCTGGAAACCTTATGCAAGTTTCATTGCATATACAGCAGCAGATCTGCACCAAACATCGAACTAGAGGAAACCACAACTTGAAAAAGGAGGAAGTATAAGTGGTCGGTTTAACATCAGTGACGTGCGGTGAGGTTCATGGCTGGTGAGGCACTGACTCACTGAGTCAGATTTACAAATATTATATTTTGACCTTAATCGAAATATTCGGTTATTTTCAAAAGCTTTTTTTAGTCTGATGCTTCGATTCATTTTAAACAGACCGTTCAACAAAAGGATACCCAAAATCTAAATATTGGATTGTTCTTTCTTAGTAAGATCCCATTTTCATTACAAATGTGGTTTTACCTTGACTTGAAGATGAAGTCCATGCTATCCTTCTGGACAACAATCTCTATTACTTTTTTGTAAAAGTCCTCCTTATCTTCCTGTAGTTTCAAAAGTCTAGTTTGTTGTTTGCGTCTACCGTCTCTGCGTAGAATTACAGTAGCAACAAGAACCTGTGGGCTCACGTGTGCCCCCTTCAGTGCGGCAGAGTTTATGGCTGCCTGCTTTTTTCATTGCCGTTGTATGATGAGACCAGCGAGCCTAAATATCATACGTGAAATAAGTTATTTAGAGACTATGGATGGCGAGGATAAATGTAATAAAGGGATCTACAAACATTACATTGGTGACATACAGTGAGATGGTAACAGGCATGCGCTTAGGGCCCGCTTTCCAGACAGTTTCTGTGGGGTGACGCATTCTGAGGTGAGGCAGAGCTCATCTGTGCCTCACCTTACCCCACAGTAACTGGCTTGAGCGCGCTCACAAAATAAGTGCCCGCGCTAAATTAGTGCCCGCGCTCCAGCAAGTTACTGTGGGCTTACAAGATGCAGAGCACGTCCTTGCCTCACTTCTCATCGCTCCCGTAGCGGAGCTCGGCAAATTTGCTGATTTTGACTATGAAAAGCGATTGGAATCATACATAAATCACACTTACAACTCAGATCAGTGGAGACATTTTATTATTATTACTATTTAGTTTTTCTTTAGTTGTTTTTCCATTACATCGGAGTATGACAGGTGAGGCTCTGCCTCCCCTGCCTCCCCTGACTGCACGTCGCTGACTAGCAGTCCCTGTGCACAAAAGCGCATTATCACTGTGAATTCGTTTTTAAAGCATACTTTTTTTGTGAAATGATTCAGCATTCCACAAAAAAACACATTATTCTAAAAACGACTGTACCCTGTATTCTGTCATGCAGACTGAAAGCATCACATTCAATCAATACAGTTCAAGACGTTCATTAGACTCACGGAAAATACAAGATATACAGGTTCCTTTCACCTTTTGAGCTTGTTCCTCAATATGTATATACATTTTATGTTAGTATTCAATATGTCTATTTTTTGGGCAGTTTCGTTTGCTGACAGTTTCATTGGTAAAAATAGATGGTGGTATCTTAAGCGATTCATTATTTGCTATACTTCGCTACTTATTTATCTAAATAGTTATCACCGCAATAAACCATATTTAATTTTGTCTTAAATGTACAATATCAATTTCATATTATGTTCTTGTATATATCATATTCTATTTACATGTATACAGGCTTCTTGCACTATTTCTTATTTGTATTTGATTATATATGTTGCATCGTTGAAGGAGCTTGGGTCATAATATTTTCATAGCCATTTCTACACTAGCTTATGTGCACATGACAATAAAACCTTTGAATCTAATGTTTATGTTTCTTCTTTATTTTCACAGTAACCATGCTGTTATAATGTAGCCAAAATAAAACTATTTCTGTAAAGTTTATGTTTTGTTATATGTATACCAGATTATTTTCAATAAAATTGTAATATATTATATCACACATTTTTGAAAAATTCCTTTCTATTCTACATACTGAAGTACATTTTTGTGCAGTATATGCCTTTGAGGATGACATTCTTGTCCCTTTAAATAACTAAATCAATGGACAATTCAGCATTATTAGGACACATACCATTGTGGTCACATTCATATTCACTCACATGCAAAAGCAAAGGCACAAAATTAACGTTACAGTAATATATTATTGTGACGTTAGATCATGGCAGATTATGGGATCATAAAAACGGAAATATTTGTTTAGAGAGGGATCAGGATGAGATGATTTATTTATTTATTTATGATGGGGGAGGTAATGGAGTCCATGGGTTCCCAGTGAGAAATCATCCTGGCGTCATAGAGCTCCTTGCTGCGTTGCATAACATCTTTGTTCCACTGCTCCACGTCACACTTGGGGATGGGCTCTGTAAACACCAAGCAATCATTGGTAACAATTCTCAGTTTAGGCTCATCAAGCAAAAAAAGACAAAGCCACATCACTGCAAATCCCGAGTCATTCTTGACACCTTGAACGTTTCCCATTTATCTCATTTCCGCCTCCTCGACTCCTCGGTCCTCCGGTAGTGACCCGGAAATAGATTTCAGCGCGCCATGTTGAAGGACATCCCATTTCTATAAATGCACATCGAGGACCGAGGATCGAGGAGGCTCTCTTGAGGAGCTATAACCGAGGATACCTTTCACACCGGCGCTTTTTCCTGTTCACACCGCAGCGGCGCCGCGTCATAGCTCCGGAATGCGGTTCACTTCCAGCTCCAAAAAATTGTCGGTCTAGATCAAGCGGCAAACTCTGGGGAAGAGCCGGGACGCCAATACGGAAGTGCCACAAACTGCAGTTCATATATTGGCCGATAGGCGATGACTGCAGAAAGGAGCAATTTCCATAGACCCCAATGTTAAAATGCCCATTTTCACAGCAGAAAAAAAACGTTTCTAGCCCTGGCTCCAATACATTTTATTATGTATATAGTTAGATTCCACCTTCGTGATTATGAATCTGTGAGTGAATTGTTTTCTAACGCGACCCTTTTATTTATATTAGGTCTTAAAGTTTTTGCATAAATTAGGGCGTGGTCACATTGAGTGACAGCTCTGTCAGGTGACTGCTGCTGTTAGCTTTTTGTCTCTCTGCTAGCTGCTCCGTCCGTGAAGCTACAGGGACTGTGCCTGGTCAGTTCATCCAGGGAACACAACTTGATCCCGGCCGTGTTTGTTTGTTCTTCATGCTTATATATCGGACTATTGTGACTCGCTCTGCGGTTAAAACAGACGGTGCATGAATGCCGTTTTGCGGTAAGTGAAATTCGAGTACTTTATTTATGTGTTTATGATACGTAATGAATGTTAAGGCTTGGGTTTGCGTGTAAGCGAGTGGTAGCTATGCTCAAGTATGTAGACAAGCTAACGTCGAAGTAGTGTATGTGAAATCAACCTCACAATAAGATGTGTGTATATTACAATTATTAATGTCATATTTTCAAGATGATTACTTAGATATTACAATATGGTTGGTTGAGCTGGAGTTCATTATTGAGTTTACACGTTAACGTCACAGTCATCTGAAGAACGAACCCAAACGTTGTTGTTTTTATTAATTGCATTACCAAATTGGTATCAAATAAACAGTAACACAACAGCATTGGTAACACAACTTCCAAAGTTACAGTAAAATAAAAAGAACCCTGACTCGGACAATACACAATCCAACATGTTCAACAGAAGAGAATAAGTTATATTGTTTGTACACATGGTTATTTACATATATATCTGTTTGTTTAAAGTTTCCAGGTGATGCAGACAGGATGGACCAGAGAGTGAGAGACAGAACTGGACTCCTCACAGCAGTGAACTTCAGCACAGGTACAAATACTCTTTTTTCATACTGTACAAAGAATCAAGAAAGATATTGGTTTAAATAAATGAAGTATTGACTTTAATACACTGATATACATTCCATTAAACAATACTAAATACTAGATCACCTACACATCAGTGAAGTTGAGGGTTTTTTCCATGCAAAGGGTTACATTTAGATGTTAACAAGCAATATGACTGTCAGCTTTCTAATTTAAGGTATTGAAGGCAAAGCTATTAGTGAGAACTGCTACTATTTATCTCTCAATATTGTCTGTAAAAAACGTGGTAAAAGTTATGATTTCAGTGAGAGAACAGAGCAAGCTTCTACAGTTGCACTAAGTTTTGATAACAGTTCAATATTATTTTGATAATAAAATATATTTCAATGTTGATGAATTTCATACTGTTCATTCATAATCTGATTGTCTTTGTAGCTAACTGTTGAAATAAAATAAAACATTACAATTACAAAATAATTATATCTACAGCCCCTAAACACAAACACACCTCTTTCATAAATAACACACTTGTTCTGCAATAATATGCTTTATGTTTCCTGTAATTTTGTTAGGAAAGGACATGCCTGAAAGACACGACTCAACATGTTCTCCTTCTCTGAGGGTCAAGAAGAACATCCAAGAGGAAAATTAAAAGCTGATGTTATGAGATTTTAAGACCAGTACAGGACATTCACTAAGAAACTACTTTTATTGTGAAGTCAGCTGATCGAATGCACCTATTTCCACATCTACACTCCATCAGCTGATTAATTCTATTTGCCTCACTTTATGAGCTTCACAACATGTACCTTGTACCGCAGAGTTTGCAACGCAAATAAATGGGGCCAATCTTCAGTCGGATGTGAATGTGTAATCTAACATTTTCAGTAAGAATAATGGACAAAAGGAGTGCAAATACAAATTCAATTTATTGAAATCTGAACCAAAAGTTAATCAAACATGTTTTAAATAAAAAAGCACATATGGACAGAAGGTGTAAACCTATTAAATGTATAAGTAAACACATTTAGTCAAATAAAGTGACAGACAAGGCCTGATCAGGTGGTATCAGCTATGCATGGGCTCCTCCATCAGGCCTGATCCTCCTCACAGAGGAAAGACCCTCAGTCCTCTCCAAACCAACAGACAGGACGTCCATCACACGGAGGTTTCTCCCTGAAGTCTCTGCAGCTCTCTGGACACCACGCTGTCTCAATCCGTCCACACTGAATATGAGAGGGGAAAATGAAAATAATAAATGCTTTAGACAATAAGAAATATAAAGTTGACTGTTGAGTTGCTCAGTTTTTTTAGATTGTCAATACTATTACTGTATAACTAATATCCCAGGTTAAGAGGCACCTTCAAATAAAGATTGGTCTTTAAATACATTTTGTCTTTTGTATTGTTTGTCTAAAGTCAAGGATCTAGAACTGGTACTT